GTAGAGTAGAGAGAGAGAGATTATGAACACAAATGATGCATTGTACCTTGACAGTCGCATGCATAGATGACCTTAATTGAGCATTAGACATGGTGGCTGAAGGTTTTCTTCGTGATCCATAGGCATGAATGATACAGTGACTTAACTCCATTTTCTGATAACAAGTAGTTTCTATAGCCATGGATGAACCTGTTACTGTATCACAAAGACATGCCATGAAGTAATATGATGTAAGCCACTGTGAAGAATGTCGCAGACTTGAATGATCTTCCTCCGTTGGATTTGGACCTATGTTTGTTACTTCCATGGTGAAACTTCTTTTTCTTTAGAAGAGAGCTCTAAAAATCAGGAATTTGAATTTAACATGGACTGTCAATTTTATTCTGAATAACTATTTTATCCCAGTCCATCTAACAAATGCTACTGAAATTGGACCTGATATTATATTTCATAACAGCATACTGTTCGAGTAGTTTATCCAACATTTAATGTCCATGCTGTGGAATTGAGTAAAGGGTCTGCCAAATTGGTGGCGATTAAAAGTGGGGAATAGCTTATCACACATTATGTTGGATAAATATGGATAGTGGATGTAATATTGTTTACCTATTTAGTGTAAAATACTTTCCCCTACTAAAACATGTAGTTTGGGGATTTCATTTCGAGCATATGCATGACATTTTCCGTTCTTTTAAACTGTTTTGTTCATAGATCAAAAGCATCAAATATACTTTTTTTGGAAAAAAATAAATGTTTGGTAAAGTTTAAAATTTGAATAGTATTTGGAAAATTATAAAGAAAATATTAAAGAAGTTTTCGCAGCACCTAAGTCAATAAGAGAAAGGGAGAATTAACATTTTTCACAAAGACTAGTTCTTGAAAGCTTATAGACAGGGTGCTTTCACTTTTTGAAACTCAAATGCAAATTGCCTACGAGCAAAAAATTGCAAGTAACATTTTAACATAACAAAATGACAATTGAGATTCTCTTTTAAATGAATCCCATAATTTGGAAATGGAAATAGATCTGTTTTGCCTCTGCCTTTGACATTAATGTCCATTTGATTCTAATGAAGGTTTAGTCCATTTATCCACTCTTTTTCTATTGATTCTTTTCTGCAAAGAGATAGCTTGAGTTTGCCTGCGGGCGTGTGTTAATGTGTGCGTATGCATGTGTGCATACACGTGCATGCACGTGCATGTGTTCATGTGTGCGTATGCATGTATACACATGCGCACGCCTGCGTGTGTTATGTGTAAGTGAGGGAGAGAAAGCGAGAGTGATTATGACCGTAGTTACCGGGAGTGCCCAACTAGGGTGGCACTCCCACTCTGGAACCCAGCTTTGACGTTTCATGATTGGGATCGGGAGCTGGCTCTTATTTAAAGGATTCTCAATCTCATACACAAAGGATCTTAATCCTACTGTCGTACGGAGCGTGTTCCTTAAAATTGTAGATCTTGTTCCATAATAAATTAGATCCTCGCTCCCAGAATTTTAGGAGCGCGATCGCTATGTTCCCGAAACTCCATCCATACGTTCCCGGAACTTCCTAAAAGAAACTTTTAAAATAAAATTAGCTTTTAAAATAAAATAATTATATTTCAAGCCAAATTGTCATACAAGTTGAGTTCTACGATGGGAGTGCATACTAATCATGCACAAAATGCAATCCTTCCTTGAATGGAACTCGATCCTTTCCAAATACGAACGTGGTCATTCTTAGATAGGGGCGTGTTCCTGTTGTCGATGGGAGCGCGATCCTAATGAATATGGGAGTACGATCCTATTTGACATGGAATGCGCACCTTTTAAATAAGGATCTAGATCCCGATGTATTGAGATCGCTCTCCCTGTTCATACGGAATCTCAATCCGCTACTTTTTCCCTCACCAGAACTTGTTCCATGAGATCTGAAGCTTTGGGCAGCCAATGATCTAGCGCTCCGGGAACCGGAGCTGTTGTTGCTCTTGCTCCCGGTAACTATTATTATGACACACTATTTTTTTGGAAAATAAATATAAAATGAAAATTTTCTCCAACATAGAGAGCCATTGATTCACATACCTGATTCCTGTGAACTTCGTTAACATACACAAACCTCTTAGGCATGTTCCACTCGCAAGTTGAAGTTCTATATATATAACCCATGATAGAGATATCAGATATTCGCTGGTTCAGTATAAGCAAATTATATATTTTAGTTTCACCAAAACGTTGATAGTGATGTATCAATACTTATAAACTAATGAATGAGATTAAGGCATAAAATATGGAAATAAGCTTTTACTTGTCTTATTTGTCTTGGAATCTCCGTCTTTAATGTTGGAGATAGTTCTTTTCTTGATTATAGCATATTATTGTCGCATTTATGGAAATAAACTTGTACTTGTCTTATTTGTCTTGGAATCTCCTCCTTTGATGTTGGAGATTTTTCTTCTCTTGATTATAGCATATTATTGTCGCATTTATGCATATACTTTTTTAATTACTCATGAAAAGTAATACATAAAGAAAGAGACCAAGGGCACAGTCACATGTAGGAGCTTTTATGTTTGGTACAAAAATGTGTAAAAAGGACTAGAGTTGCCAAATGTGAAATTAGATCGCTGGGGCTCGGCTCAAAGTCTTGGAATTTTTTTTTTTCAGAATTTATGCCAAGGAACGAGCATCACATTTCACATTTGAAGCCTCATAAAACTTGGAATCAAAATGCGCAAGCGCTTTTTTAATGTTTATAATTACTTGGAGCATGTACAAAGTCCAGAAAATGCTCAAAAACTTGGAAATTGACCGAAAGTTTGAGCATTTCATCATTGGAGAAAAGTTTATATAACATATCCAACTTATAGTATAGGCGTAAGATATTCCATGAAAGCCCATTAGAAAAGGTTTTTCCAACAGCGAAAAACACACCAATTGACCTCGAGATATATAATTATGAAAAACAAAATAGAGTTCTAAGTCTAAAAAATAGTGCCTCTCGTAATGCATTATCTTGACCGTCTATTTTCAAATGTCAAGCAATTAGAAATATGCTCAATCTACACTATATTTAGAGCTTCAAATTTTATAATTAATAGTGAAATTAGATTTTTCGGCCATCTAGGTGTTTCAAACCGCAGCTTTCTGATGCGCTTTACCCTGATTGTATCTGTCATTATTAAATGATGTATGAAAGCTCTTCTACAATATAAGCGCATTCAAATCATAAAACAACAAAAAAAAGGGGAAAAATACACAAAGAGACCGTTTGCTTTTCATACAAGGAGATCGCTATTACTCCCATCCATTAGATTTCAAATCAAGTGGTTGTGAGTATATCTTAAAATAGACTCAAAGTTTTTAAAAAAAAAATAAAAAATAAAAAAATATTAAACTTTTGTATCACAGCCTAAGCCATCCAATTTAACATCTAATGGCTAGTAACAATTGTTACTTCTTGTACCAAGAAAAAAGGGTCTCATAATATATAATCCCCCCCCCCCCCCCCCCCCAAAAAAAAAAAAGAGCAGCTCAAGTGCAACGAAGTTTGATGAAACCTTATGTCACCATAGCTGTTGGATGGCAACATTGGACGGCTAGCATTTATCATCCCTTCTCTTAAAGTGCGTAATTCATCCACTAATACTTTGATTTATAGCCTATCTACGATCCATACCAGTAGTCCAAATCTCATCTAATGGTTGGGTCAATGTGAGGTTTTTTGAGAACTTCAATTACATTGGCTGTTTACCACTTTCTACTATATCATTATCATCTAAGCTTTATCCTAACTAATTGGGATTTGTTGTTCACGATTGGGATATGGCGAAAGCTTTTTTTGCTAGCTGCCAATTTAACACAACCCTCCTTTTCTCAAATAAGCTTAGAATGGACAATGATATTTGAGTAATCATTTTCTACTTGATACATTTTATCCTAAAAATAATTTTATGAGTATTCATTTTCTACTTATAATATTAAACTATGAAAAGCAATCGAGTAAATCCCGTTAATTGTAACTTCGATTTATTTTACATGTGTGCCTCTTTTTAGAGAGGTAACACTTTGGTAGTTGTCATCACACCCGGATAATCCGGCACTCTATTTTAGAAAGGGAAATTTATCAAAATACATTTAGAGATAAATTATTTAACATTTTATCTATGAAAATTGGAAACTATTTCAATTCATGATCATGTGCTTTTTTATGAGTATTTTGAAATTAAACCAAAGACATTAGTGGAATGTTGAATAGTTAATTTATTAGGATCAATTTCCCTTTTAGAAATAGTCTCATAAGGGTATTTCAAATATTTGTCCAAATTGTGCAAAAAATAAGTCTCCATTATCTCATATAATTACGGAAAATATTATTAAGGAAAAGTATACAATGAGACCATTTATAGTTGGTACATGGAGGTTGTAATTAATCTTGACCATTGGATGTAAAATTGATCGGCTGAATTTATTTCATTAACAAAGCTTGAATTTTTAATGAAGTTAATTTAAACTTTGTAACACATCCAAGCCATCAAATATCACATTGGATGATTATAGGTGATATCCTTGTATCAAAGATAAATAGTCTTGTAATATATAGTCCTTATTATTTAAGGGGTCAAAACTCTTTACAAAATCACTAAAAGGGTTAAAAGATCTCCAATTAACATTAGAAGCTTTACTTCCTAAGCAAAAGTCTGCTGACCTTAGTAGACCATAAAAAAAGTAGGGCTTGAGACGCAAAATGTGGCCAAAAGAGTGGCCCGGGATTGGGTAGGACCACAACATTGTTGGACTGGGCCAGCCCTGTGTTTTCTCTTATTGCTTTTCTTTTCCTTATCTTGAATCCATTAGGCTCCTATAGAGACCCTGGCCAGACTCGGTTTAGGGTTGACACGGCCCACACCCAGCCTATTCCCACCATTATTACTTAGGCATCTCCTCAAAAATATCTAAAAACTACCCAAATTGTCCTTTTTCATTGTTGATAACCCAAAGCAATTAAGGACATTTTAATAATTTAACCCACCGTAAACAAGTGTGGGATATTCTCATCATTTGATTGGGCCTCTTAGGTACATCAAGTGATCAAAATACCCCTAATAATTTAAGTTCTTAATCCTATGGGCACAATCAAATACTTTTAAGATATTCTTTACGGAGAAACCTGATTATAATAGAAATTAAATAGGGAACTTTCTAGTATTTATTGGGATGTTTTGACCCCTTAATGCTTTTTTAAGGGATTTTAACCGCTTAAATAATACTTTTCCAACAAAGCAAGAGATCATATTATATCACCACGGGTGTAATGTGGGGTGCATAGATCAGCCATCCACCATCCATACTAATCAATAGATAGTGCATGTGAGTTGCCTAGGCTAACCAAATATGTCTGATATAGAAGTAAGTAGCAGCTCATCTCCACCATCAGTTAGTGAGTATGGATGGTGCATGTTAAGTGTCTTCTAGATTGAGTACAGGATGTGTTGCCACAACGGGCGTGCTTAAGAAAATAATTGGTTATGAATGAGCTTTTCTTTTTCTACAATGGCCGTTATCCGGCAACATCAAGGACATCATATGTTTTGTAACGATAAATAGTGGCCAATTTTTTTAAAGAGAAATTTATCTAAATCCCAATGAGCGATGAACTATTTAACATGGTATTCTTATCTTTTAACTTAATTCTAAAAAACCCCATCAAATAATATATAATCATGTGTTAGAATAGTTGCCATTGGATATAATGTGGTTCATCTCTTATATGAATTTTGAAGATTGGCCCTTTGTTTAAAACCACAATCATTGAAATTGGCAGCTCACAAAATATTTTAACTTCAAGATTCATATAACCTCTCAATTTCCATTTATTTTCTACTTATGTTTTTTCTTTCCACTTGTTTTCTTGGACTTCAATGGGCATTATAGAATGACACTTTTTACACCTCGCTTTAGTAATGTTATGCGGCTTTAAAATATCAGAATTTTTCAAAATACACTTGAGGAAATATTTAAAAATTTACCCATTTATTTAATTAAAAATCATATTAAATGGACATGGTTGTATAACAAATGTTTTTTTTTTTAAAACAAAATGAATATTGAATTAAAAAAAAAAAAATAGACTCTTCATACTTTGATTGCTTCAAAAAAAACCCATTATGTTATTTTAAAGTATTTTAATATTTTTTTCACATTTCAGATTCTAGTATCAACAAATCTTACTCTTTGTTAAGGATATCCTTGTGGATATGCTGGTTTCTGAATCTTATTCCATACCGGTTTTAAAAAATTTTGAATTGGGTTCAGATTTGCATGGTTTAGAGTCCGACTTCCTTCGATCTCACTCAAGGCAGTCCAAGTCGAAAAGGGAACTTTTAATAAGAAAATTTATAAAATACTTAAATGAAAGAAAGACTAATGTGATCTTGTCGGGGAATATATACTTTTTATTTTCTTCTTTTCACTCATTTTCTTTCTTTTTCTTTTTCTTTTTCTTTTGACAAAGATTACAACAAATAGTCTTACTACAATAATTCTTGCTTCACATAAAATAAAACTAACAAATTCAAGATCTTAAAAACCTTGATGGGGCATCAATATTATGGAAAGTGCAGGAACCATTATCCCCTTTTCCTATTTTCTCATCATTAGAAATTAAATAAATTAAATCAAATCAAAATATTGTGCATACCATAAAATAACAGAAGCCTTCTTATACTTTCCACAAAATCTTTTAAAATATATCAAGTTAATATCTAATCAATATTTAGTCAATATATTCCAACCATATGACCACATGTCAATATATTCTAACCATATAACTACATGTCATATGACCACATGACCATATGACCACATGTCATAGAGGGGCCTTCATAGGCCCCACCTCTAACAACATGGTGTGCCCTTGTGCATAATGGGTTCCCATGAAAGTTATATATATAAAAAATAGAAATAATTTTAGAATATTATTTAAATATTTAAAACATTATATAATCAATATCTTTATTTTTATAAGCTCAAATATTATAAATAAAATATCAAGAGATTTATAAAAATTCAAATAATAATTCTAAAATAACATTTATCATAAAGCAAACATAATTAAACTAATATAATGG